AGTTCCCGTTCGAGAGTCACAGTAACCACACAGAGAGTTAATTCAGGGCATCTGCACGCCAAAACAAGTTAAGTTTAATGCTTTAAAAGATCTGTTGTGTATTTCAATACCAAAACATATGCATGATTAGGTGTTATTACATCCAACTCTGTTGTATTTATATAGCGCCAAATCACAACAGTCACCTCAAGGCGCTTCAAATTGTAAGGCAAAGACTCGACAATAATACAGAGAACAATGAGACGATCCCTTATGAGCATGCAGTTGGTGACAGAGGGAAGGAAAAACTCCCTTTTAACAGGAAGAAACCTACGTCTACATAAGATTTCAAAGTTTACACTTACTAACTCATAGTTTTGAGAAAATAACTTGAAATGTAGACGATAAAGTTACATTTCGAGTTACTAGGAGAACACAGTTAATGGATAATATGGATGCTAAAAGATTTTAGGCTCTTGATTTAAGAATGTGAAGCTGTTTATGGTTAGCTGAGATTTTTCTAGATTTTACTGTAGACTAAATAAACAAGTCCGTGTGAATAACTGCAAACATAATTTCATTTACAGCAGACCTTGAAGAATATACAGGGAGTGCAGAATTATTAGGCAAATGAGTATTTTGTCCACATCATCCTCTTCATGCATGTTGCCTTACTCCAAGCTGTACAGGCTCGAAAGCCTACTACCAATTAAGCATATTAGGTGATGTGCATCTCTGTAATGAGAAGGGGTGTGGTCTAATCACATCAACACCCTATATCAGGTGTGCATAATTATTAGGCAACGTCCTTTCCTTTGGCAAAATGGGTCAAAAGAAGGACTTGACAGGCTCAGAAAAGTCAAAAATAGTGAGATATCTTGCAGAGGGATGCAGCAGTCTCAAAATTGCAAAGCTTCTGAAGCGTGATCATCAAACAATCAAGCGTTTCATTCAAAATAGTCAACAGGGTCGCAAGAAGCGTGTGGAAAAACCAAGGCGCAAAATAACTGCCCATGAACTGAGAAAAGTCAAGCGTGCAGCTGCCAAGATGCCACTTGCCACCAGTTTGGCCATATTTCAGAGCTGCAACATCACTGGAGTGCCCAAAAGCACAAGGTGTGCAATACTCAGAGACATGGCCAAGGTAAGAAAGGCTGAAAGACGACCACCACTGAACAAGACACACAAGCTGAAACGTCAAGACTGGGCCAAGAAATATCTCAAGACTGGTTTTTCTAAGGTTTTATGGACTGATGAAATGAGAGTGAGTCTTGATGGGCCAGATGGATGGGCCCGTGGCTGGATTGGTAAAGGGCAGAGAGCTCCAGTCCGACTCAGACGCCAGCAAGGTGGAGGTGGAGTACTGGTTTGGGCTGGTATCATCAAAGATGAGCTTGTGGGGCCTTTTCGGGTTGAGGATGGAGTCAAGCTCAACTCCCAGTCCTACTGCCAGTTTCTGGAAGACACCTTCTTCAAGCAGTGGTACAGGAAGAAGTCTGCATCCTTCAAGAAAAACATGATTCTCATGCAGGACAATGCTCCATCACACGTGTCCAAGTACTCCACAGCGTGGCTGGCAAGAAAGGGTATAAAAGAAGAAAAACTAATGACATGGCCTCCTTGTTCACCTGATCTGAACCCCATTGAGAACCTGTGGTCCATCATCAAATGTGAGATTTACAAGGAGGGAAAACAGTACACCTCTCTGAACAGTGTCTGGGAGGCTGTGGTTGCTGCTGCACGCAATGTTGATGGTGAACAGATCAAAACACTGACAGAATCCATGGATGGCAGGCTTTTGAGTGTCCTTGCAAAGAAAGGTGGCTATATTGGTCGCTGATTTGTTTTTGTTTTGTTTTTGAATGTCAGAAATGTATATTTGTGAATGTGGAGATGTTATATTGGTTTCACTGGTAAAAATAAATAATTGAAATGGGTATATATTTGTTTTTTGTTAAGTTGCCTAATAATTCTGCACAGTAATAGTCACCTGCACACACAGATATCCCCCTAAAATAGCTAAAACTAAAAACAAACTAAAAACTACTTCCACAAACATTCAGCTTTGATATTAATGAGTTTTTTGGGTTCATTGAGAACATGGTTGTTGTTCAATAATAAAATTATTCCTCAAAAATACAACTTGCCTAATAATTCTGCACTCCCTGTATTATTTGCAATAATAATCAGTCACCCAAATGTGGTTAGGTACCTTTGAGGTCTGCGATGACTGAAACCACTCATTATCACAGGGGCTGGACTCCAGAGAGGACATGTACTGTTCAGACGCAGATGTCAGGTCATTGTGATCCACAGATGGTAGGTCTACAGGGTACATGGCCTCTTGGAGAGGATACAGATGTTTAAGATGTACTTACGCATTTACACAAGATACAAAAAATAGAAACAAAACGTGAGTCTTGACTTTATGGATCTGATTACATTAGTATTCTCCCGTGTGCGACCACCAGATTGTCTTTAAAACGGTTAATCTTTAAAGCTGCGTCCCCTTCATTTAACACTGCAAATACACGAGAGAATGAATTATGAGTCCGCACAAGCTGTCCGGTCCTCCCGGTAAAATCGGCGCATAAGTTAATGCAACGGTCCCCAGTCCCCGGACCGGTACTGGCCCGTGAGTCGTTTGGTAGCGGGCCGCGAGAGTTGAGGCTCGAGTGTGAAATTTAGGGGTTTTATTTATTATTTATTTTTTATCGTTAACTTGGTTTCCCTGGGTCTTTTCCCATGTGTTATGAATAAATTTTCTTGTTTTCTGGTACCGGTACTGGTTTTATTTTGTTGGATTTATCCGCGACACCTTAAAGGCTGGTCCATGAAACTCTTGTCGGACATAGACCGGTCCGTGGCGCAATAAAGGTTGGGAACCGCAGGGTTACAGTTTTTTACAGACTTAGGTCACTTTTGCAAAACTCTTCACACAATCCTCCTAACTGACCGTCAGCTTGGCAAAGCAGTTCATTTCACATTCAAAATGCACTACAACTACCAAAACACTTCATTCAGGTCTCAAATAAACTCATTCTTCCAGAACACTAGCAAAGGTTGACAGCCGACAAACACACTTTGTCACCCACAAAACAATGACCTAAAAAACACTAACAACATGTAGCATTACACAGTGTTTACTTGTGTAAAACAAGGACACATCTCTGTTTATAATTTCAGTATATGTTACTGGAATGAATCAGACATCATGCAGAATTCGTTAATATTTGTTTATGTATTTTTTATTTTTTATTTAATCCCAAAATACAAGAATTTGTATACACACCATCCACTGATACACATACAATAGTAATGCTAATCTACTCGGTCTTCTCCATTTGGCCACAGGTTCTCATCCACATCACATCTTATGTCATCTAGGGCAACACACCTAGGAAAGAATCTTCTGGCTGCCAGAATTGAAGGAGTTGAAAAATTGAAGGAGTAACACCTGTGTAGATGTTCATCTACAATGAGAATCAGCTGTGGCTGGTTAAACTGCATTTTTAGATTTAAAATATGTTTCAATAAAATATTGCTGTTGGATTTTGCTGTCTTTTCAAGTTTTGCATTGTGTTATTGTTTTGGCCATAAGTTTAACAGTTTTGAAAACAGTATGTAAGCACATGCAAAATGTCCTGTACGTACAAAGATTTTTGGCAGTTGTTGTGTCTGAGTGAGAAGATGATTCATGAAATTTGAGAGATGTAGTCATTGAATGCATTTTGTGCCAAAACAATGATAACTGGTCCTCAGTTTAGCCCACATAGACTTCTGTTGTGCTCACTGTGTGAGGAGTTTTGCAAACGTGACCTAAGTATTGGGAAATGTGTCCTAGCGTCTGTAAAAAACTGTAATGCAGATTTCTGCTAAACAATCGGTTCACACAGCCAAATCAAACCAACTCATATCGGTGGATCTGAAGGAAACAAAATCAAAATGTAGCAGATAGCAACCTAAGAACTGTTTACTTCAATCGTTTCATAAAAAGGCTGCAAATGATCATACGCTGCTTGAGCTGCTTTTAATCTGAGTGCTGTAAACAGCTGTGTGAACCTTGAACTGCAACGCAAACAAGAACACGTCACGACAAAGGCTTCATAACAAACTCGAACATGAATTTATTTAATTTCGTTAACTTACTTTCTATGGACCGGATGAGCCCTTATTGCTTATCAGCAACGTCCCTACAGTCCCGAAATGTAACTTTGATGAGCCTACTCAACCACTAACATCTTCTTTTCTTCGGCCCGGAGCGCCATCCTCTGGTCACAGAGAGAGTTACAAAAATACACGCCATTGTTCGCGGTCTGACTCCATTAACCAATCACAGCAGAGTGTACCTTCGGCGATGACCCTTTGGGCGATGTAATTTAGCACTGGCATGGAATACAGGCATGACGGGAAATGCGCGTTGACGGTTTCAGAATAAAAGAACACGCTTTACCAAGCAAGCACAAAAGGACATTGTTTTTATTTAGCTCATGTTAAAATCTTGCAGTAACAGTCAATCTTCGCTATCTGTTATTAATTTGTAACTTTTTTTTTGTTTAACCTCCTAGGACCTGGCGTCCACATATGTGGGCATCACATTTTGGGTTATTTAGACCAAAATACTAAATTTTGCTCTGCAAGGGCCTGATATCCACTTACGAGGACATTATACTGTTACTGTCCTATCGAAATTTCAAACGAATATTCTTATATGTGGCTCTCATTTTCAGGTCCCAGGTCAGCATTGGTGGTTCGGGTCTCAGGAGGTTAACACTTAGAAAATCCTTGAAAAAACAGTTTTTACCCTAACTTCCCAAAAATGGCTGCAAAAATATTATATAGTGATATTTATTTTCCATTATAAATGACTCAGTCTTTTACAAATGCTTCATCCTGGACTATACATATTTCATATTACATAGTTTATTATATAGTTAGATGGTTATAGAGAGAGAGAGAGAGAGAGAGAGAGTGAGTTTTGTTTTATTTTGAAAACAGAGTCCCGGAAGCGGTATGCTAGAAGTAGCTTTTATGTTGTCAGCGGCAGTCTGCGTTTGTGTTTCGCCGTCGGTGACCTGTCGGTGACATTTGCAAACAATGCTCCTCGGGCTGACTAGAGGGCGGGTGCTGCCGTCTCCTTGGCGCTGCCTCCTGCATTGTCGCCACATTAAATCTGCAGCCACCGCTGCGGTGAGTGTTATTTAACGTCCTTCATGTTGGTCGTTTAACTTCAATGCGTGTTGTGCACGAAGTCACGTGCACAGCATGTCTTACCTGCGTGCACGGTACAACCTGCTAGCAAAGCATTAATTAACAAGGCTAATTATGAATAAGCATTACTTAAAAGGGTTAATAAAGCACGAGGCCCAATACCACCGTGTACAAATGCTAATTATTATCTCTGCGCATTAAACTTGAGTCAGCGAAACCTGTAAAAGTTTAGGCGGCACTAAAGGTCTTTGCGAAGGCTTTTTATATGTTAGCATACACTACAAGCGAACCTTAAATTGCAAAATACGGCGACCCGTATTTTTTTTGAAATGAAATATGAAATTGTCACACCCTTCTGAGCTATTTAGACGAAATATTGAGTCCAGAAAAACAAGCAATTCAACCCTTGGAATGTGTCACAGAATTTTTCTTGATTCTTGATTATTCTTGTCTATGTGCGCATTGGTGGTTCAGTGGTAGAATTCTCGCCTGCCACGCGGGAGGCCCGGGTTCGATTCCCGGCCAATGCAACCTTCCTTTTTCTTTGTCAGAGGCGACATAAAAATTATGCGTCTACTTTCTCGAATCAAATAAATATGAATAAGTATTTGGATGCGTTCATAAAAGGTATAAATTCTCTAAGCCTATTGTAGAATGCACCGTTTTTCCTGTTTGCTGGAAATGTAACATTGATCTCTACCGTCTACTGAGTGTTGAAATAGTGTAAGAATTGCGGAAGGGGGCGGCAATCGGTTCTTATTCTGTTGTGCAAAAATCCTTAGTGTGCGCATTGGTGGTTCAGTGGTAGAATTCTCGCCTGCCACGCGGGAGGCCCGGGTTCGATTCCCGGCCAATGCAACACCTAATTTTCTTTTCTTTGTGTCATGAGAGGTGTGCAACTATAGCAACTTTAAAATATTTGACACCATATTTCTTTTTCTGAAAGAAATATGGTGTCATCTTATCACCCAGTAGGATTAGCCTGATGGTGTTAAAGGCACTGGAAATTTCAAAAAGCATAATGCTTAGTACATGCCGACTGACCCAGAAAGCCCTCCATTTCCTGTGCAAAAGTCATATCAGCAAGCATTGGTGGTTCAGTGGTAGACTTCTCGCCTGCCACGCGGGAGGCCCGGGTTCGATTCCCGGCCAATGCAAGGCTAGTTCTTTTCTTCCGTGTGTGGGTATTTAGAGCAGCTATGAATATCTACGTTTAAAACTGCTTCTATACTTACTATATAGGACTGAAAGCTAGTGTGGTGAACTTTGGATAGAATGCAGGTTAAAGTCACTTTTGCATTTGCTTGCTCTTTGTGGCACAGAAATTGGCTGTGGGGCCATGATCTGTTTTCTGTTCAAAGGCCACAGTGTCAAGCATTGGTGGTTCAGTGGTAGAATTCTCGCCTGCCACGCGGGAGGCCCGGGTTCGATTCCCGGCCAATGCAAGGCTTACTTTTCATCCCCCTCTCTATTATTTATGTGTAGGCATTCAGACGGGCTATAAATTCTTTAACTGTCTTGTGGACAGCACACCTTAAATTCTACTTATCTGTTAGCCAGCAATCAAACTTTGAGAGATGCTGTACAGCTGGCTCATCTGCAGAACTGTAGGTGAGTCCCCGCCCCCAGTGTGTTCGCTTGAGAGGTAACATCTTCCTGAACTTGGCTCAAAATGAGCCCACAGACAGTTTGCAGTTATTTGAGAATAGGGCTGTGCGATATGACCAAAATCCCATATCCCGATATAAGACATCTATCGTCCGATAACGATATAAGTCACAAAAATGTAACATTTTCTGTAAATTCTGTGAATCTCGGGCAGCTCGACCTGCGTGAAATGTTTCCAGCTTGGCGTCGTGTACCTGGAGTCGAGTGTTTTAACCGATGCATGAAACGATACATTTTTAGACATAAGTTGTAACGGCCGTTGTTTTCTTTGTGAGTATTTATTACACAGTGTGCTACGGGGAAAAGCCTGTTCTAACGTTTGAGTCTAAGGTTTATTTTTTAGCACCTGACGGCTCCTTTTTGCTTCTCATCCGTAAACAGTCTGCATTCTCTTTCACATGATTCAGTTTATTTTGAACAGTCTCAACAGGATCTTGAGCTTTATTCTGAAAGGTTTATGTGGAAAATAAACAAGCGGACACATGGCGCGATGGTTTTACCGTCGTTGTTGTTAACGACAACACATAAAAACAGGCACTTGTCCGTCCGTGTGGTTATATTAAATATAAGAGAAAGAGAGAACTTTAAGAAATTAATATAGCCACTACAGTGACCATCAAAATGATGAAAAATATCGCCGTGAACAGTTTAGTTTATTTTGCGACATCACGAAACAAACGATAGCGTAAAATGAAACGATAGACGTTTTTATATCGTCATCCGATATATATCGTTATATCGAACAGCTCTATTTGAGAATGTGCTTGTTTTATTGATTGTAACATGGGAACATGTACAATCATACAGCTTGTTGGAGACACGCTTATTGGGGCACAACAATGAAATACAGTGGGAACACCTGATGTGGTCACCTGTACATCTAACACATCCTGACAGAGTGATAAAACCGCAGACAGTAAAAAAAAATTTTTTGTGTGCAGTGCCTTCTGGGACCGACAACCTGAACAGAACTTAAGGGGCACCTCTTGGTTGTCAACAGATGGGGAGCATCTCCTTGCTGCTAGAGTCCCTCCCCACTGAGCCCCTCTCAGCAGGAAGTCAAGTAGGCCATTTACATAAAAAGGGGAAGACCATCTCTGAATCGAGAAGGGTGCCTAAGCCCATTGTTTGTCAGTGGTGCTAGTTTCAGTCATTATGCAAATATATTGTTTTTAAGGTTGAGGAAATATGCAGTTAGCAATGGTTTCTCTGTTTCCATTGCCAGCTCCTTCAGTCTCAGGAAAACCAGGGCCATCACAGGTGACCCCTTGCACCCTACCCACCACTTGTTTGCCACACTGTCCTCTGGTGGGCACCTTAGATCAGTCAGGTTCAACACCTGCTGACTCCTTTCGATGTGTAGGAGCAGCAGTTACATCTATTACTATTACATCTGGTGCCAACTAGTGAGATCAATGATGGGTTTGTTGACTAGTCGCACACATCCCTAATATAGACAGTATAAAAGACGTAGCTACCACATTGTCATCCATTGATTACTGAAGCATTTCTGCTGTCTTGTTTTTTAAAAAAAAACTAGACAAAACAACAATGGGTGGGTCTTTCTGTGAAATGGCTCACTCATTGGCTAATGACCATAAGCATACCATGGATATCCTTTTTTCTAAAACACGATATGCCCAAGAATTAAAATACAGACAATTTTTGTTATCCAGTGTGACTCAAAACAAGTGACCGATTCCAGTAATGTAGCAGAAAAAATCTACAGAGGTCAAGTCAGAAATAAATACAGGGTATTTCATTTGTATTATTACATATTATCAGGCTATCATTATAACAAGTAGTGGATGCTCTTGGTATTGTATTGTGTGTAACTCTGTATTCATTTATGTGTCTGCACAGAGTGGTGTTGGAGACAGCGTGCTCTCTGCATTTAGGTCTATATGTGGCGAGGACGGCGTCTCATTGGGCGAAGCTGTTAGAGAACAACATGGCAAAGATGAGTCTGTACACAGGTCAGCATCTCCCATCTCACACACAAAAAATCAAACATTGACCTATACTGATTTACAGATAAGCAGAGGAGCTGCCATATTTCTTGTGTTTTTCTCCAGACTTTAACTTTTTTTCTTGTTTCTGTGTCTTTTACTCAGTATCAGAGTGTTTTGTCGTTTTCATACCTTTCTCTCAAACATGTATTGAGAGAGTTTTTGTTGTTGTTCTTGTTGCCGTGGAACTGTTACTTTCATTGAGGAATGGGACTGTGGTGTTTACTCTTTTGTTTTTTAAACTAAACTTTTTGTCATTGGCAGACAATCAAACATTGATCTGTACTGATTTAGAGACAAGCAGAGGGGCCACCATCTTTCTTGTGTGCTTAAGTTGCTGACTGTGTAGTTGGCCAATTTTAGTTTCACAGTCAGATCCACCCTTGCTCGTCACACATGGGCCTGAAAACAATGCTAAATGTGCTAGTGGCCTGTGGGGCCATCATGTGTTTTCAGTGGAGAAGTTTCTGCAGCAAGCATTGGTGGTTCAGTGGTAGAATTCTCGCCTGCCACGCGGGAGGCCCGGGTTCGATTCCCGGCCAATGCAACACTAATTTTTCTTCCCTTTTTTATTATATATGTGTAAATCTGTTATAGAATCATAACTTTCTGTTTTCAGTGGATCACCCATGCTAGCACCATTGACCAACAATGGGCCAGCAGGTCAGTGTCATAATCATTAATATGCAAATTATCATGATCATTGATCAATGGCTATAGTACCATTCACAGGGAGTTGAACAATGGCTCCAATCACAGCATTATAAGATGGTGAACGATGTACTCTTAGAACCCCTCCTCCATTCAGAAATGGTCATTTACATTTTCACATAAATGGGCTCCTCGACTTCCTGCTCAAACCGCAAATCAAACAGCACCAGTCGATCCAATCGCACATTTTTAGCCAGTGAAAAATCACCTGATTACTTACATGTAACTGTCTGAGTGTGGGTTCGAGTTCTGATTGGGACAAAGCTTGTGTTACATTAACACAGTGGTTCCCAAACGTTTTTTGCTGGGCCCCCCTTTGTTTTACAAGAAAAATGTTCGCGCCCCCCACGCACAAACACATCCTCCAACCACACACACCTATATTTTGATCCATTGCGGTTAATTTCACACCTCAAACATTTAGCAAACAATTAAGCAAATACAAGTAATCTGCAGTAAATTACAGGTAGTAAGAAAATAAACTACAAACTCTTTTACGCTACGTCCACACCTACACGGGTATTTTTGAAAACGCAGCTGTTTCGTCCACATGTAAACGAGATTTTTTAAAAACAGAGTTCGTCAAGCAATGTCAAAGGTATGTGCCTTTTTTCACGTCACGCTGTGCGCCACGTTATTGTTTACATGAGATGAATTGCAGAATAGCAGATAGAGACAAAATACTGTTAATCTGACTATCTGCAGGTTTTACACGCTTACATACACACGCAGTTACAGTCCCTCCATTTACAAAGGCAGAGGCCGGGTTCGATTCCCGGCCAATGCAGTCTAATTTTCTTCTTCTTTTCTTTGTGTCATGAGACGTGTGCAACTATAGAAAATTAGACTGCATTGGCCGGGAATCGAACCCGGGCCTTAACAGCTTTTTTGTACTCCAAGTGCTTCTGCTTCAAATGATGAAATAGGTTTGTAGTGTTTCCTCTCTTCGCCACGACGGCCCGCTTGCATGTTCCACGAAAAAATTGTGCTTTGGTGGGTATCGGATGGACGAAAACCAAACCACTTCCACACCACCGAAGTTGCACCATTTTTACTGACCAATTCTGCTTCACCCGTTTCATTCAAAGATGCGCTTTTGTCCATGTCATTGTCCATCGCCGCCATACTTTTTCTGCCATGTGCGTATGAGCGTATAAAAACAAAGGCACTGCGCATTTTACCCATATTCTATTGCGATATTTCATTTTCTTATCGTTGCCTAACGTTATGCCAGTATTACCGTGAACGGTATAATGTGGCCCAGCCCTATTGCTGAGTTTTGTGAAGATGTGTAAGGATCGAAGGCAACGTGCTATGTTGTTAGCAAAAGAGGCTCTCTGTGTGTCCCAGGTTAACACGAAGAAATGGTTTGATAGTAAAGCACTAAAAAGGCAATTTCAGCCTGGGGACAGGTCTGTCCGTCCCTGCTTCTGCTCTTGGGCCCCTATTTTATAGTGAAGAAGGTGACAGGTGTTCACATTAAAAAAATAAGAGTTTGGCAAGGCAACAGTAACGTACCTAGGTAAGCAGGTTGGTTTTGGACAGGTCCACCCGGTGGAGGCAAAGATTGTCGCAGTCTTGAACTATCCGACTCCGACCACCAGGCAGGAGCTAAAGCAGTTCCTCGGTATGATATTACCGGTGTTTCTGTAAAAACTTCTCTGCCAATGTGGTTCTTTTAACCAGGTTATGTAGCCCAAAGGTACAATTGGAATGGTCTGTAGAGTGCCAGCATGCATTCGAGTGAGCAAATTCCTTCCACTGCAGCGCCCCTGTCTTAGCGGCTCCTGATTCTCTCAACCTTTCAAGCTAGATGTTGATGCTAGTGCCACTGGAGCTGATGTTGTGTTATTGCAGGATGATGAGGCGTGCGTGTGTCATCCTGTCTTGTTTTTTCTATATCAAGTTGAAATGCCATCAGCAGAACTATTCTACTGTAGAGAAGGAAGCATGAGCTCTGCTTCTCGCCCTGCAGCATTTTGCAGTGCATGTTGGCTCCAGCTCCTCTCTGGTAACTGTACTCACAGACCACAATCCTGTCGTTTTTCTTCACCGAATGTACAATGATAACCAACGACTGGGCACTGCTGGCACAGGATTATAATCTTGTGATTAAGCATAAGAAAGATACTGACAACATAGTAGCTGACGCACTCTCATGCAGCTCACAGTGAAGTGTTTTGTAGCCAACAATCCTAAATGTGCTACTGGCCTGTGGGACCGTCCTCTGTCTTCTGCGCAAAGGGTGCATTGGTGGTTCAGTGGTAGAATTCTCGCCTGCCACGCGGGAGGCCCGGGTTCGATTCCCGGCCAATGCAACACCTACTTTTTTTTCACACACACACACTATATAACAATATATACACAGTTAAGTCTGTAATTATCCATACCCCTGGCAAATTTTGTCTTACAAAGTTACTTTTATTCAACCCGCAAATTTATTTTTTGTTTTGACTGGAAAGGACACAGGCAGACACTCACAACTAGAACAAAACTGTCTTATATACAATATCAACTGTTTCTTCCTCATTAGTTTTTTTTCCTTCCATCCATCTAAGTCTCTCTGTCTCATAGAAAGCAGACTCCTGAAACTCCTTCCAGGTCATTTCTTTGTCCATGCCTTTGTCTCTGTATAGAGTACACTTTCAAAGGGCAGCAAATATAGTTTTCCTGCCACTTCAGGGAAGCCCGTATGAATGTGTGGACTATTTGGTCCCTGTGGCTGAATCTGCAGAGGTAGCGTCCGGTTCCCTCTGGAAAAATTCTGTCTGAACAAATTCTTCAAAGGGCATTTTAGGGTTACCGATTCCCTCAGCAGCATAACTTTGATGTATCTTCTTTGAACAATAGAAATACGGCACAGGCCCTCGATGGTAAAAAAAAAATAGTGGATGGAAGATCCACCTGTCTCATACTGGGACTTGGGCTGTCCACAGGCAAGACAAATCTTTCTGCCTTCCTTCCTCAGGTTGCTCCTGCTGTTGATTCTCTAAGATGCCCTCCACAATCTTCTCTATTGAGTCTTGTGTCAGAGGTGTAGACAGGGCAGGAGGAGGTGGGTTTAAGTAAGCTGGCTCCATGGTGACCACAGGAACACTGGTTGTCTCACTCCCTTCAGTTAAAAAGTGCCACAGTTGCTGAGTCTGCAGAAGTTTTTCTGGGCTTGTGTTCAAAGAAGTGTTTAGAAGCTTAGCCAAGTGTTTCACATAACGGGATATGTGTAGCTTGGATGTGGGTGCAGCAAGCTGTTGAGATCAGCACACTAGGTCCTGCTTCACAGGTGCAGACTTGTCCTGAAGCTAATTTTTAATTCTTGTATCTTCATCCGATGGGTCCTGGAGAAGGTATCGAAGTGGCTCCTTGTGGAACGCCACCGATTTTCCCTGAGTAGAATACAACTTTCTTGTGAATCTTGACATACAATCATCAATGGTCATGAAAATTTGCATATTAATGATAATGAAACTGGCCTCACAGCCCATTGTTTATTTAGTGGACTAGTTTCAGTCTGTGTGCAAATGTACTGTTCAGAAGTTTGAGGAAACCTGCATCCAGCTGAGACTAAAGAAGTCATTTGGATGAGTTACGAAACGTTTCTCCCACTGAAAACACTACGTCCAGATGTACAGAATCAACTTTTTGGAATTTACTTTCCGGGATGATTGAGCATACATCAAGACAGAATAGTTCATAATTTACCATGCCTTTTTATCACAGCTGATAAAATGTAACCGTCTTTAACCAAGTGATGGACGTTTTCTTACACTAATCAAGTAAATGAAATCACAGTGAACACTTCTCTTACCTTTAAAATACACCTGCAATTTTTAATCTATTGGTTTACTCTTATTTTAAACAACGTTTATTACCTTTGACGAATGAACAAGGATCGCTGAGATCTGTTGCAAGTGGTGCATAACTTGTCTTTTTTCCTGAAATTTAAAAGTGGAAATTGTTTAAAACTGCCAGGTCTCAAACTCGCAACAGCGCCGGAAGGGTCACAGTGGTGAATAATATATTAAATCCGTAGTTTAGCACTACCATAGAGAATGAATGGGAAACTGTTTAGACCTGTTGAGCTAAACAATCCCAGCCTCCCATGCAGAGGCCCGGGTTCGATTCCTGGCCACTGCAGAAATTCCTACAGCAAGCAATCCTTTTTAAATTCAACCCAGTAACTCCAAGTAGGCTGGTGTTACATCCTGTGAGACTGTGGTAGTGTGTGGGTGTGGTGTTGCTCTCTCTCTCCCCCTCCT